ACTCCACGCACACACACACGCGCCTCTGTTTACCTCGCCGTAAGCAGGAACCCGGTTGTTGTGGATCGACGGATCGCTTTTCCGGGGTGGGGTGGGGATGGGGGGAGTAATAATTCCTTCCAAAAATAATAATAATAATAATAATACTAAATTAGTCGCCTCAATCCACGGCTGTTTGTGTGGACGCTGCTGTGCGCAATTGGCTGCCCGCGTTTCGCCCACAAAATGTACACCCAATTCGCTTTACCGTGTGAAGCGTCTTGAGATATTTCGATAACGTTTTAAGGCGCCGTATCCAATGCAAGGATTATTATTGTTATTAGGACCTTGCAACTGGGTGGCGCTCTCTTACTGAGGTTTTTCTTTTGGTCCTGTAAACGATGCCACCCGATTCTAACCACTGTGCGGCGCTGTGCAGAGTTGCAGTAAAATCTTTCCTGCGCTGCAGCTCTCAGTTCGCTATCGAGCAGCGTAGGTGGGCAGGGTCGCGGCTTGCGATTCACCCCCAACGTTCCTACTTGTACCCCCTGATGCAGTAATTTCCCGAACAGTTGGAGCGGGCTTACGAACCTCAGATAAATTGACCGCGGCCGTTTGTAATAATGATATAATAATCCTCGCATCACGTCTTCGAGACGTCTCAAAGCGCTTCACAGAATCTACTGGAAAGTGTAGTAACTGTATGTTTTGTGGGCGAAACGCGGTAGCGAATTGGCGCACAGCGGCGTCCCACAAACGGTGGTGGATTGAGTGACCAAATTATTATTTTTATTACCCCCGGAAAAGCGAACCGCCGTTCGACTAACAACCGGGTTCCTACTCACCCCCGGGTAAACAGAGGCGTGTGTGTGTGTGTGTAAGTAAAGAAACTTGTCCAACGTCTCGCCCTGCCCGGGAATCGAACCTAGATCCTCTCGCTTGCGAGGCGAGCGCTCACTAACCACTGAGCTACGGGACTCCATTCCACTTCGTATTTGTCAGTTGACGGTTTCTGCCGCCAACCGGCCGTTCATTTATTTCATGGCTGTTTGTGGGACGTCGCTGCCGCGGTTGCTCGAGAAAACCGCGTAGTTAACCCACCTCACAGTAAATCTTGTCAAGCGCCTTGGAACGTCCGGCTGATGTGAAAGGCGCTAGAGCTAATGCAAGGATTATAACAAACAATGACTGCCGTTGCTGAGAAAAAACGCACACAAAGGGAGAATTGGGGGAATTCTTTCTAGCCAGTTTCTGCAGTCGCTACGCGTGACGCCGATTGCCTGTGAAATGCTTTGCGATGTTGGGAGCGGACTCACAATCCCTGGATAGTGGAGCCCTGTAGCTCAGCGGTTAGAGCGCTCGCCTCGCAAGCGAGAGGACCGGGGTTCAATTCCCAGGGCAGGTCGAAACGTTGGGCAAGTTTCCTTACTCCACACACACTCTTGTTTACCTAGTAGTAAGTAGGAACCAGGTTGTTATTCGATTTGCCAATCGCTTTTCCAGGGGTAATAATCCCTTCAAAGATTAAAAAAAATATAATAATTATTTGGTCACTTCAATGACTGTGGGACGCTGCTGTGCGCAATTGGCTGCCACATTTCGCCCACTAAACATACAGTCAATCCACTACGGCATTTTCTGTGAAGCGGATTGAGACGTGTCAAAGACGTGATAAGGCGCTATATTAATATCAAGGATTACTGTTGTTATTATTTTCTGCAGTTTATCCGTAGCCCCGCTGGGCAGAACAGTCGTGTTTGTAAGATCATAAGACCATAAAACGTAGGAGCAGGAGTAGGCCATTCGGCCCCTCGAGCCTGCCCCGCCATTCAATAAGATCATGGCTGATCTTCTAACCTAATTCCACTTACCCGCCCTATCCCCATATCTCTTAATCCCTCTGTCCTTTAGATATCTATCAACCTCAGTCTTGAATATGTTCAAGGACTAAGCATCCACAGCCTTCTGGGGCAGAGAAGTCCACAGATTCACTACCCTCTGAGTGAAGAAACGTTTCCTCAACTCTATTCTAAAAGGCTGACCCTTAATCTTGAGACTATGACCCCTAGTTTTAGATTCTCCAACCAGGGGAAACAGTCTCTCCCTCTCTACCGTGTCAAGACCCTTAAGAATCTTATAGATTTCTATAAGATCACCTCTAATTCTATATTCTAGAGAATATAAGCCTAGTTTATTCAACCTCTCCTCATGGGTCAACACCCCTCATCCCAGGAACCAACCTAGTGAATCTACTCTGCACCCCCTCTAAGGCGAGTATGTCCTTTCTTAAATAAGGAGACCAAAACTGCACACAATATTCTAGGTCCGGTCTACAACTACAGCAAGACTTCCCTACTCTTGCACTCAAACCCTTTGGCAACGAATGCCAACATGGCATTAGCCCTTCCTAGTTGCTTGCCATACCTACATACTAACTTTTTGTGACTGGTGTACAAGGACACCCAAATCCCTCTGAACTCAAACACGACCCAATCTCTCCCACCCTCTAGAAAATAACCTGCTTTTCTATTTTTACTACCGAGGTGAATAACTTCACACTTCCCCACGTTACACTCCAATACTGTACTGAGATGGCTGGCAGCCCTCGAATGAAGGGAAACCACTCCTTTTGCTTCTAGTAAATTCTGCTGAGATTACGGTGACTCTGCAGCAAATATATCTTGTGTTTAAGCTATTTCGCAAACCCTAAAAGTATCTTCTTCCCAGCACCACAGCCTAACATTCCCCCTCCTTCTTCCCCACCCTGACAATCAACTCAAAACAGGTTGTGGGTTCAAGCCCCACGTCTAACTTTGAACTCGTATGGACTTAAACTGACATTCCAATGCAGTTGTCGGGAGGTGCCGCCCTTCAGATAAGACATTAAACCGAGGTCCCTTCAGTCTTTTCGGATGGATGTTAAAGATCCTATGGTACTACTCGAAACGAGAAGGGAGTTTCTCTTTCCCGGTATCCTGGCCAAGAAAATTGGTCATGTTTGTGGGAGGCTGCTGTGCGCAAACTGGTTGCCACATTCACCCACCAAACTATGCAGTTAACCCACTTTACAGTGAATCCTGTGAAGCGACTTGAGGTGTTCAGCTGATGTGAAAGGTGCTAGATCAAATGCAAGGATTATTGTTAACTGTCACTGGCGTGTGTCTTCGCAACTGTAATTCACGAGTGTGTATTCACTAAAAGAATGCACACAAAGGGAGAGATTGGCGGAATTAGTTTTATACACAGATGCAGTGTGATTGGGACATGGGATGCGCTAAATAAAAACTTTGTGAAGGGTGCTATATAAATGCAAGTTGTTGTTACTTTAAAAAAATGGGCCACTCAATCCACGATTGTTTGTGCGACGCTGTTGTGCGCAATTGGCTGCCGTGTCTCGCCACCAAAATACACAGTGAATTCGCTTTACAGTATATTCTGTGAAGCGCTTTGAGGTGGGAGAAGATAAAGCAAAGTGTTTTCCCAAATCCCGTAAACCAATCCCGTCCCCCAAACGTTCACACACAAAATATACGGTCAATTAATAATAAAATAATAATCCTTGCCTTATTACTTCTTCGAGAAGTCTCAAAGCACTTCACAACATGCTGCAAAGTGAATCGAGTGTATATTTTGTGGGGGAAACGTGTACAGCACGTCGCACAAACGGCCGTGGATTGAGTGACCAAATTATTATTGTAAAGTATACATTCGCTGTGTATATATATATCCTGTGAAGCGCTTTGAGAGGTCTTGAAGACGAGAAGACGCTCTTATCAAATCCAAGGATTATTATTATTAATAGTACGTAATGTAAAGTGGCTGAAGTTTACTGGAAAGATTGTAGCTGCTGGCAGCTTGTGTTCAGGCCGTCCGCTGTGCAGCTCGTGGGGAGGAGAATGCGCAATCATAATAATAATAATGTGCAATCTTGGCAGCCCACACCCACACCAGGCAGCAGTGGTGTGTGGTTTCCTGTTCAAAGCGATATGGTTAGCACCAGTGGGTTTCGCAACTTGTTCTGCCTTCCTGTGTTTTTGTGGGTATTTGTGTGTGTATGTTGTGGATGCTTGGTTGTGTGTGTGTGTGTCTGTGCGCACACTGTATGTGTGTGTTCTTTGTGAGTATGTGTGTGTGTGTGGATGGATGTTTTGTGTGTGTGTGTGTTGGGTGGGGTGGGTGTGCGTGTGTCCGTATGGATTGAATGAATCCTGCTCCAAACTCTGAAACGTAAACCTATGGACCTATTGGAGACTTGTGAATTTCCGGAGAATGCATCGGTTTGCACTTGATCCCATACCTTACCTTGACTTCAGAGAGCCGTGAAAAATAATGCTAGTCTTAGATATTTTATGCGCGAGCATTTCAAATCAAAACTCGCTCTTCACTGCTATCTCATTTGACGTTAGTGTAGCATTAAATTTAAGACTATTTAGAGTAAGTGGAGTGCTGTAGCTCATTGGTTAGAGCGCTCGCCTCGCAAGCGAGAGGACCTGGGTCCGATTCCCGGGCAGGGGGCGAAACATTGGGCAAGTTTCCTTACTCCACACACACACACGCACACACACACGCCTCTGTTTACCCAGCAGTAAGTAGGAACCCGGTTGATAGTCGATTGGCGGATCGCTTCTCCGGAGGTAATAATTCCTTCAAAATCAAAAATAAAATAACAAAAATAATTTGGTCACTTCAATCCACGACTGTTTGTGCTGCCGCCTCTCGCCCACAAACCACACAGTCATTTCACTTTGTGGTATATATAACCTGTGAAGCGCTTTGAGACGTCTTGAAGACGTGACGAGGAGCTGTATCAAATGCAAGGATTATTATTTTTATTAAGTGGGTGTGGGGGGATTTTTTTTATCTAGGCGCTGCGTGTGTGCGTTCGCGGGTGCGCGAGCCTGTGGAAGAGACCGTTTCAGTTTTCGACAAGATAAAAAAAAGCATAATTTCACTTGATTTGACTGTCCTTTCTGTGTCCTCTCGCCTATACAACCTCCATTCCTCTCCTCTCTCATTGCCAGACTCTGCTGACACCAACCATGCAAGGCATTATCATGGCTATAGATAAAGCCAGGCATGTGTCTGAGAAACATGGGCCCGAAGCAGGGTTTTTCAAGGTACATGTGAACTCCCTCTATTTCATTCAGTGTGTGTGTCTACACCGCCTGCTGCCTGCCGTGTGCTGACTCATTGCTGCCTTGTGCCTTCATCACTGCGCACTTGAAGGAGCTGGTCTCTCCCTCGTCCTCGAAATCATAAAACACTGTGTAGTAGTTATAATAATCCTGGCATTTGATACAGCGCCTCATCGCATCTTCGAGACGTCTCAAAGCGCTTCACAGAATATACTGTCAAGTGAACTGACTGTGTAGTTTGTGGGCGAAACGCGGCAACCAATTGAGCCCAGCGGCGTCCCATGAAACAGTCGTCTCGAAGACGCGATATGGCGCAATGTGGCACGCAAGGACTATTATTATTACTTCGGAAACATGCTAAAAATCGGGCCTTAATTCGGGAGTTGGGTCCTTTTAAAGAACTGCGGAAAACCGGCTTCTAAATTAAGAGGCGATTCAAAGACTTCACCCAACTTCTGAATCCTAAAAACCTGGACGTAATTGAAGGTCACAGCTCCTTTAATCCGCTTGGCGTTCATTCCTTATAACCCGCTGCCTCACTTGAATCCGCTGAATGTTTCGGAAAAGCTACAGGGAAAGGAGAGTGTCATGTGTTGGCTGATTCCATGGGATTTGTGCTGTTTGCTGCATTGGTGTCTTTATGATTGGGTTTTGGTGTCGGGGGTTTTGTAGGGGAGGGAGAGGGTGTTAACCTTTCTGAATTTATTTCCCGTTAGATTAACCTGCTCAATCCACGAAAGGGTTGCTGTTATTAATAGGCGTGTGGCTAGGCTCGGAAATTGGATTAAAAGATGCGCCATGGTCTAATAGACTAGCGGGAACAGGCTGGATGGACTGAATGGCCTCCTCCTGTTCCTGCTATTGAACAGGAGGAATATTTTCCATCAGGATCAGTGAGCGGTTCTGACTGGAATGAAGCTGTGCGCGTGCGTGATAGAGCTGGCGGGGTGGGGATTGGATGATAGCTGGCTTTCAGCAGAACCTTTCCTTGTCCCCGACCCACAATCTGATCTGCCGCTTTGTGTGCCACGTCAGTCTAACCCTGGCAGTTTCTGTCTTGCCTCGGCACCACCCGACCTCTCCGACCTCCTCACTCCCCAATCCACCACCTCCGCTCGACTGGCACCGGCCTCCTGCTCGTCCGTCGCACCCTCCGCCCCACCATCGGAGGTCGCGCTTTCAGCCACTACACCCCGAAACTCTGGAACACTCTCCCTCAATCCCTCCGCCTTGCCACCTCCCCTGTTTCAAGTCCCGCCTGAAAACTTTCCTCTTCGCCCGTGCTTACGGCCACCTACGCCCCCCCACCACCCCCCACCACCGGCTCGGAGTCAAGCTCCGCCACTGTTAAGCGCTACCTGCTCGGAGGGCGCTGTATAAGTGCCAGTTGTTGTTGTTGTACTGTGACTGATGAGCAGTACTGGATGACTTGGAATGCCCGAGAGAGTGCGAGCGAGAGAGAGAGAGCACTCGACTGGACTCCTGAAATATTCCCCTGCATTGTCGTATGTTTTATTTGCTCCGAATGATTGTCGGTCCGACACAGAGAGTTGTTACGTTCCGGAAAGCACTGCCTGAAAGGGTGGTGGAAACCGATCCAATAGCAACTTTCCAAAGGGAATTGGGTAGGTACTTGAGGAGGAAACATTTGCAAGGATTTGAGGCAAGAGCGGGGGGGGGAGTGGGGACTGATTGGGCAGCTCTTCCAAAGAGCCAGCACAGGCACGAAGGGCCGAACGGCCTCCTTCTGTGCTGAAATATTCTATGATTCTGTCCGGTGGAAGCGAACCAGAGCAAAGGGATTGTCATCTCAAAATCAACGCCAAGCTGGTTAGAAGTCAAACCGGAAGATATCAAGTCCCACAGAGAGCTGGTGAGAATGTGGAGGCCTGATATATTTGGGTTTTTTATAGGGGAGATGGATCAATTCACCAGGAAGTAAGGTGATTAAAAAGGAGCATGTAGGGTACAACAACAACATAGGCAGGGAAATGAGATTAAAACATCAGTGATGACCTAACAAATGTTTGCCCCCAGTCAATTCACTTTACAGTATATTCTGTGAAACACTTTGAAACGTCTCGAAGACGTGATGAGGCGCTGTATCAAATGCAAGGATTCTTATCATTATTGGTGAAACAACTGACGGCTCATCGTCCAGACCTGGAAGGGCAGACCAGTCACTGGGGGAAGGAAATCCTCCCACTCAGCTTCTGTTAACCCTGCAAGCCAAAGCCCTAAGGGGTAGATACGGTAGTCCTAGCTGGACAAGCCCTAGTTACCCTGAGATGCTAAGGGTGGAATGGAACTTCTCTCTGCTCTCACCACAATTATTGAGAGAAGATAGAGCTGGTCAAAATGATGAGCGGTTTTGACAGGGGTGAGTAGGGAGCGACTATTTCCATTGTCTGTGAGTCGATAGGTCATTTAGGAGTGAAATCGGGAGCCAAGTTTTGCTCCAAAGGGTAGTGGAAATCCGGAACTCTCTCCAAGGCTGAGGATTATGGCTGGATCCATTCACATCCTCAAAATGGAGGGATGGATATTTGTTAGGTCAGGGTATCAAGGGATACGGGGAAAAGGCAGGTAATTGGAGTTTTAGTACAGATTAGCCATGATCTAACAGACTGGCAGAACAGGCTCGAGGGGCTGAATGGCCTCCTCCTGTTCCTATGTTCCAGGTTACCTCCTCAATTCTCTCTGATCCGCTGCCAATACTGTAAAGGAAGTGGCCTAGGAGTTTTTATATAAAAAAACACCCAGAGGGTTATAAGGAAATGGGTTTTCCTGACCAAAAAATCGCTGGCTAGCATCCACAACAGCTTTTAAAAGGAAATTAGACAAATGCTTGACAAAGGAAAATACGAAAGGGTGCATGGCGGGTGGGGTGGAGGTTGAGGGTTGTGGGAGAGAGTGGGGAGGAGAGGGAAGGGATGGGCCGGGAACAAGACTGAACAGAGAGCCTGTGGAGACTGCATGATGGAATAACGTCTTAGAATCGTAGAGTTATACAACACAGAAGAAGGTCATTTGGCCCATCGTGTCCGTGTCGGATCTTTAAAGAGCTGTCCAAATTAGTCCCCACTCCCCCGCTCTGTCTCCCCATAGCCCTGCAAATTTGCCCTCCCCAAATATCTATCTATTCACTTCACATTGTATCCTGTGAAGGCGCTTTGAGGTGTCTCAACGACGTGATAAGGCGCCATATCAAATGCATCATATATATCATATATATATCAGATTATGAATAATAATATTTAATAATAATAATTAATTATAAATAATAATCATTATAAATAATAATCATTATAAATAATAATTAATAATAATAATTCTGGCAGCATTCTTATGGTCTTGCGATCCCTCACTGCAGCTGATTTGACCTGGGAGACGAGGTTTGTTCAAGTTTGCAAGATTTTTGTTTTGCTAAGGTTTGCCGAGTTCCTCCGAGCTGCAAACTCCTCTCCAAGTCTTTGTTGGGGACTCTTGAGCATGTTGAAGGTTTCCCAGTCCTGTAGCTCAGTGGTTAGAGCACTCGCTTTGCAAGTGAGAGACCTGAGTTCAATTCCAGGCAGAGGGCCAAACCTTGGGCAAGTTTCCTTACTCCACACAGAGCCTAATAATAATCCCTCCAAAACCAAAACAATAATAAATCGGTCATTTTCAATCTACGACTGTTTGTGGGACATTGCTGTGCGCAATTGGCTGCCGCGTTCGCCCACAAATATAGTCAATTCACTTTACAGTGTGTTCTGTGAAGCACTTTGGGACGTCCTCCTGACGTGAAAAGCGCTATATCAAATGCAAGGATTATTATTATTATTATTAGACACCCGGCTGACACACCTTCCCCCACCAACTCCCCCGCCCAAAAAAACCTCCAAGTGCATGGGATTGGATAGGTACTTGAAAAGAAAAAACTTGGGCAGCTCTTTCAAAGAGCCGGCACAGGCACGATGGGCCGAATGGCCTCCTTCTGTGCTGTAATATTCTACGATTCTAAGAGCTACAGGATAGGAGAACTGTAGCTCAGTGGTTAGAGAGTTTGCCTCTCAAGCGAGAGGACCCGGGTTTGATTCCCGGGTAGGGTGAAACATTGGCACGTTTCCTTACCCCACACACGCGCCTCTGTTTACCCAGCAGTAAGTAGGAACTCGGTTTTTATTTGATTGGCGGATCGCTTTTCCAGGCGTAGCAATCTCTTCAAAAAATAATAATGATTTGGTCACTCAATCCACGGCTGTTTGTGGGGAACGCTGCTGTGCGCAATTGGCTGCTGCGTTTCGCCCACAAAATATACAGTCAATTCACTTTACAGCATATCCTGTGAAGCGCTTTGAGACGTCTCGAAGACGCGATAAGGCGCTGTATCAAATGCAAGGATTATTATTATTATTGCTGGGAGGTGGGCGGGAGCAGTGGATTGATTGTGGGAAGTGCTGTCCTGTTTGGTTGAAGTGTTTAGCGAGGTCCCAACTGTCTCTACCACCCACCCCCACCCCCACCCAGTGAACCAACCTCCTGTCCGGGTGAATGTCTCCCCAGGCGTTCACGGCAGAGCACTCCCGCCTGGTGAGGCTGGCACAGGAAGACACCGCCCCCGGGAACGACAACCGGCTCAAACACGTGGTGGTCTACTTCCTGCACAACCAAACGCCCAACAAAGTCATCGAGAGGACCCTGCTGGAGCAGTTTGCTGATCGCAACCTTGGCTTTGATGAACGGTAACTCACCTGCGTCTGTGCGCAATCTTGTGCTGCTGTCTTTCGCCCACAAAACACACACGGTCGTCCACTTTATAGTATATCCTCAGAAGCGCTTTGAGACGTCTCGAAGACGTGATGAGGCGCTGTATCAAATACAAGGATTATTATTATTACTACTATTACATTTGTTTTGGTCGAATCGCTTAAGATGGTTATAAGTCACACCCGTTTCCCCGTTCCTCCTTCCGCGCCCACACCCCCCCTCCCCCATGGCCTCTTGGTGTCTGTGCCAACAAAAGTGCTCAGCACACGGAAGGAGGTCCCTGGAGCTATCTACTCCAGGAGTCCTGTAGCTCAGTGGTTAGAGTGCTCGCCTCACAAGCGAGAGGACCTGAGTTTGATTCCCGGCAGGGTGAAACGTTGGGCAAGTTTCCTTACTCGGCACACACGCGCCTGATAATAATCCCTCGAGAAAAAAAAGAACGATAAATTTGTCACTCAATCCACGGCTGTTTGTGGGACGCAATTGGCTGCCGCGTTTCGCCCACAAAATATACAGTCAATTCACTTCACCGGATATTCTGTGAAGGGCTTTGAGACGTCTCGAAGACGTGATAAGGCGCTGTATCAAATGCAAGTATGATTATTCTTATTCTTACTCTAATCCCATTCCCCACCTCTCTTTCACAACATGTCTGAATCAACAACAGCAGCAAAATACATTTACACAGCGCCTTTCAAATCAGGGTGACATCCCAAGGCACTGGACAGTCGGAAAAGGATTCGGAACATATCTTGTGCATATTAATCCATTGCAAATGCAAATGTTTCCTGCTGGGCAAACAGCAACTGCTAACGAGTTAATAGTGGTCTAATGATTATTATAATCCTTATAATCCTGAAAGTGCTGTCTTCCCCAACTTGGAGCTCTTGACTCCAATTTCACTGAGATCCTATTGTCCGATCCCACTGATAGTCTGGAACGCACCGCCTGAAAGAAAAGGGGGTGGAAACAGATTCAATTACAACTTTCAAAAGGGAATTGGATAGTTACTTGAAGAGGAAAGGATTGTGAGGATAGGCGGAAAGAGCGGGGTGGGGGATTGGGGAATAATGGGGTAGCTCTTCCAAAGAGCTGGCACAGGCGCGATGGGCTGAATGGCCTCCTTCTTCTGTGCTGTAATATTCTATGATTCCGTTCTGTCCACTCGTGGATCCCGTGAACGTTTCTCATTGTGAATCTTTTCCAGGTGTCTCAGTGTCATGAGAGTCGCCCAATCCAAACTGGAGCTGATCAAACCCAAGGAGATGAGCATGGAAGAGTATGAGGTGAGACTTGGGTGGGGTGGTTGGAGGGAGGGCTGGTGGGAGGGGATGGAGGGAGGGTGTTCCAAAGCGAGGGGGGAGATAGAGGATATCCAAAACCCAGGGTAGGATCCTTAACGAGAGTGGAGCTTAGAGGAGCACCCAACCCAAAATGGGGATGAAATTGGCTGATGATCTCCCTCGTTGGCTCGACCCTTACGGTGGTGTTCACCGTCCATTTCCGCTGTGGAGCAAGTGAAATTATTTTTCAGGCAAACGTTACGATGATGATGATAAGGTCGCATCAAGTACTATCCTGTAGGGTATTGGTTAGAGGGCTCGTGCCGCGTGCGAGAGGACCTGGATTTGATTCCTGGGCAGGGCAAAACGTTTGGGGCAAGTTTCCTTACTCCACACGCCTCGAAGTAGGCTGTTAGTCGATTGGCGGATCATTTTTCCAAAGGTAATAATCCCTTTTTAAAAAAAATGATTATCATTTGGTCACTTCAATCCATGACTGTTTGTGGGACGCTGCTGTGCGCAATTGGCTGCCGCGTTTTATCCCCCAAATATACAGTCAGTTCACTCTACAGTATATTCCGTGAAGCGCTTTGAGAGGTCTCAAAGACGTGATAAGGAGCTATAATCAAATGCAAGGTTTTATTATTATTATTATTTGATATAGCGCCTTTCACGTCAGGAGGGAACCTCAAAGCGCTTCAAAGGATTCCCTGCAAAGTGTAGTGACCGTGTCATTCGTGGGTGAATTCCGAGACACTTTGAAATGTTTTCCTGCCGTAATGGCCCCCCACCCACTCCCCCCATACACATTTCGCCCACAAAACGCACAGTCACTGCACTTTGCAGTGTATCCTGTGAAGCTCTTTGAGGACTTCAAAGACGTGATAAGGCATGATATCAAAGGCAAGGATTATAAAGTGTCTGATGTGTGTGTGTCTGGGTGTATTCCTGCAGAGATGGCACAGAGAGTACAAATTGTTTCGCGAGACGAGTGTGTGCATTCTGATCGGCTTGGAGCTGTTCCAGAAGAAAAGGTAAGTGTTTGGCGGGCCGGTGGGTGGGACTGTGCTTTGAGCCGGGTTGTTATCTTGCGCTTCGTCCACTCCCTCGCAACTGAGAACGGTGGGACTATGAATTCGATGACATCTTTCGAGAGCGAAGTAGATAGATATTTCGGGGAGGACAAATTTGCAGGGCTATAGGGAGAGAGGGGGGAGGAGTGGGATTAATTCGGACAGCTCTTTCAAAGAGCTGCCACGGACACGATAGGGCCGAATGGCTTCCTTCTGTGCTGTATAATTCTATGATTCTATGGAGCCCTGTAGCTCAGGGGTCAGAGCGCTCGCCTCGAAAGCGAGAGGACCTGGGTTCGATTCCCGGGCAGGACGAAACGTTGGGCAAGTTTCCGTACTTCACCACACACGCCTCTGCTTACCCAGCAGTCAGTAGGAACACAGTTGTTAGTCGATTGGCGGATCGCTTTTCATTCTAAAAAAATAATAAAAATTTGGTCACGCAGTCCACGACTGTTTGTGGGACGCTGCTGTGCGCGATTGGCTGCCGCGTTTCGCCCACAACATATACAGCCAATTCACTTCACAGTATATCCTGTGAAGCTCCTTGAGACGTCTCGAAGACGTGATAAGATGCTATATCAAATGCAAGTATTATTATTATGCAATTTTACAGCACACAAGGAGAGTGTTTGGCCTATTGTACCTGCGGTGGACTCCATTTAATCCCATTTCTTTTGTCCTCACTCTCCCCCCACCCCCACCAAACTATCTACCCGTACTCTTATATCTTTCCTGCTCAAGTGTTTGCCTGATCCTCTTTTTAATAGGTGACGTCCTGGTTAACTGGACAATATTTTTGCCTTCTGCAAATCGACTTGAAAAGAAGGATCAACATTCCAGGGCTGGGTGGGTGGGTGGGTTGGGGGGGGGGGGGAGAGAGAGACGATGGGTTAAATTGGCACTTGCTCTATCACCAGCTGCATGGGAACAGGACCAACTCCCAGTACAATGCACTCAATGGCTTTCTATAAACCTCCCTCCCTGCTCAGTCTTTAACCCCTGCTCCCACATATCGTGGGAGAAACACACAGAAAAGACAGAGTGAAAGAAAGGCACAGAGGGAGAGAGACAGACAGAGAGAGAAAGACAGACAAAGAAAAAGATAGAGAGACAGAGAAAAAGACAAAGAGAGAATAACAGAGAGAGAGAGACAAAGAAAGAGAAAGACAGACAGACAGAGAGAGAGAGACGGACAGAGAGAAAAAGACAAAGCGAGAGAGACAGAGAGAAAGAAAGCGAGAGAGAGAAAGACAAAGAGAAAGACATGAGAGAAAGAAAAATGTAGAGAGAAGAGAGAGGTACAAAAAAGAGCGAAAGGTACAAAAAGAGAGGAACGAGAGAGCGAGAGAAAAAAAACGCTGCATTGTCAAAGATGTCGTCGTTCGGATGAGACGTTAAACTCGGCTCCTCTCTGCCTGTGTAGACGGCGGTAAGGGATGTTTCTCAGGTATCCTGGCAGACTGTTCCCCACCAGATCAATGAATGAATGAATTAATCAATCATTGACTTCACGACTGTACCTGGGAACTTGGGAGAGCCGTGTTCGTTGACAAACACAGTCGCTTTGACACTTGACAGTAAAGTGCGTTGAGAGGGGTTTCAACGCGGTGGGGAAGCTCCTATACACTTCACGCTGGCGGCGTGATAAAGTGGGGGATCCCGAATATAAGCTCTCCCTCCAGTTCCTAGCCTCGGTTTACCCATCAGGAACCCGCTTGTCCGTCGATTCCAGAGGTAATAATCTTTCCCGCCCCCATTCCCCCCCAAAATAATAATAATTTGGTCACTTCAATCCACGACTGTTTGCGGGACCATTGCTGTGCGCGATTGGCTGCCGTGTTTCGCCCCTAGAGTAACACAGTCGGTTCACTCGACAGTATATTCCGTGAAGCGCTTTGAGATGTCGGGAAGACCCTGATAAGGCGCTGTGTCAAATGCCAGGGTCGCCGTGCGTGTGAGCGAAGGGATTGGGGGGGCAGCTCCGCGCGCGTCTCTGCTGAGATTTTCTGGCACGGGCAACCCTCAAGTGCTGGCTTCAAAGAGGCAGATCGAACGAGTGCCCGTCAGGCTGGTCTGTCTGCCCAGCAAACAGCCTGGAGACCACGGTCTGTTGTTCGTTTCCATCTGATGGCACATGCCCTTTGCCCTGTCCCCACTCGGGAGGTTTGTCCGTCTCCCCAGCAACTGGGCACGAGTTCACTTGCGTTCACTCTTACCTGTGCGGGTATGTGTTTGTGTTTGAGTCTGCGTGAGTCTGCATTTATTTTTATTTTTCTGGCGGTCAGCCGGGTGTCCTGACACACGCGGAAACCCATCACCGTTGCTTAAGGTTCTCCAAACCGAACTGAGAATAGATTGTTGGAATGGAACGTGCTCTCTCTCTCTCTCCCTGGAGGGACGCATACTGCTTACCTGATTTCGGGAAAGTATTAGGCGCAGGTTGGCAAGAGCCAAGGCTTGGGGGAACCTCAGAGTGTGCGTTGGCGGTAACTGCTGGAGGCTAACCAGCTAAAACCACATAGCTCACCACTCAGAGCACTGTCTGGCAAGTTTTCCCACTGCTTGTCCAGCTAGGACCACCCTACCCGTTAACAGGAGCGGAGTTGAATAACAGTAAGAGCTGAGAGTGCGTTGGGGGCGTAACTGCAAGTACGTGACTGTGTGTACTCTGACTCTGTGTGTTTATGTACATATCTGTCTGTGTGTCTGTGTATGTGTGTCTGTTTGTGTGTGTTCATGTCTGTGTATGTGTGTGTTTGTCTTGATTCCCCGCTGATTCTCCCTGAACTGGGCTTTTCTTTGTCCGACCCAGGAATTCACTCCGGGAAGCAATGTAGCTCCTCACCTCTCTGACCAGGAGGCTCCTCGTAAAAACAGTACTGAGAAAAGACTCGGCGAGCGTTTCATGGCAATTGTAGCACGAGACAAGGCTGTTTCCAACACCCACATCGCAGCGAATGTCTCTGGCGTGTTTGCCTCCCCCACTGGAGTTTCCTAACCCTGTTACCTTACTCTGCCTTGTCCTGGTGCTCGCTTCCCCACTGGAGCTCTCTACTCTAACCCCATTCCCTGCTCTCTCTCTCTCTCTCTCCCCATCGTGTCTGTGCTGGGGTTCGCTCCCCCCACTGGAGCTCTCTACTCTAACCCCCATTCCCCTGCTCTCTCTCTCTCTCTCTCTCCCCATCGTATCTGTGCTAGGGTTCGCTCCCCCCACTGGAGCTCTCTACTCTAACCCCATTCCCTGCTCTCTCTCTCTCTCTCTCTCTCTCTCTCCCCATCGTGTCGGTGCTGGGGTTCGCTTCCCCACTGGAGCTCTCTACTCTAACCCCCATTCCCCTGCTCTCTCTCTCTCCCCATCGTGTCGGTGCTGGGGCTCACTCCCCCCACTGGAGCTGTCTACTCTAACCCCATTCCCCTGCTCGCTCTCTCTCCCCATCGTGTCTGTCCTGGTGCTCACTCTCCCACTGGAGCTCTCTACTCTAACCCCATTCCCTGCTCTTTCTCTCTCCCCATCGTGTTTGTGCTTGGGCTCGCTCCTCCACTGGAGCTCTCTACTCTCTATTCCCTTTTCCTTGATCTTTTCTATATACCCTCTTGTATTTTGCCTCTTTAAAAGTCTTATCCATTTGGGCAGCTGATAAATGTGGGCGATATTAGACACACGATATTAGATGATCTTGCAGTTGCCCCTTGAAAAAGTAGCGCGGGGTTAGGGGTGGGGTGCGGTGGGGGGAGGAACGAGAGAGAGAGATGAGGAAGAAATTATTTGCTGCTAGAAAATAATATCTGGGGATAGATACCGTGTAGAGTTTGGGACACAACATGTCAAGCGATTGCCAGGATGGTGGAAGGCGAACGAGATGGACTTGAGTCTGCTTTCACCTGCAAAGAACTTGAATTTTTATAATGTCCAATTGTGACAAAATGTCTCAAAACGCTTTCCTCTTAATTCGTGCCTAATGTAGTGACTGTTTTTGTAGGCGATTGCAGGAGCCATTTTACACAGAGCAGCGTTCCCACAACCAGCCAGCAGAACATGCAGCTGGAACTTTCATTTACAACCACAATAATCATATGATAATAATAATTCCTGCGTTTGATATAGCACTTGATCACGTCTTCGAGACGTTTCAAAGCGCTTCACAGAATATAATGTCCTTCGGTGTGATATAGCGCCGTATCCCATTATCGAGACATCTCAAAATGCTTCACAGGAATCGCTGTAAATTATAGTGACTGTTTGCAAGCTCAGGCAGGAGCCAAGTTGCACACAGCAACGACCCATTAAAAAAAACCATGAAGCGAATGATAAGGTTTATTTGGGGAATTTTTGGCCAGGAAACTCCCTTCTCCTTTCCAGTTGTCCTGTGGGATCTTTAACGTCCACAGGCAGACGTGACCTTGGTTTACTGTTTTATCTGTCCACGCACAATATGCAGTCACTTTTAACTATTCATAGACAAGGTTTTTTTTTTGGGTCGGCCGGGTGGGTGTCTGACACACTGGGAAACCCATCACCGTTGCTTAAGAGTCTCCAAGCTGAGAATTTCATGCCATCCCACCCACACACGGAAATCCCAGAGATAGATTGTCGGAATGGAATGCGTTCTCTCTCTCTCTGTCTGTCTCTCGCTAAGACCACCCTCCCCGTTAGGGCTTTGGCTGCAGGGTTAACAGGAGCTGAGGGGGATGTTGTATAGACACCACATACAATCACTACACTTGACAGCAATTCCATTTGAGACGGTTTGACCCGATCGGCGCTAATTCCTTCAAAAAAAAATTAATAGTAATAAATCGGTCACTTCAGCCCACGACTGTTTGCGGGACGCTGCTGTGCGCGAGTGTCTGCCGCGTTTGGCCCACAAAATACACGGCCGATTCATTTGACAGTCTATTCAGCGAAGCGCCCTGAGGCGTCGCGAAGACGTGAGGAATCGCTGCATCAAAGGCCAGGATTATTATCAGGTCGAAAGCTTGATTGATTATTATTATTGATCCTGTATCGGTTGTTATTTTCAGCTGCAGCGAGGCATTGCTTTACCTCGTCCACGCTTACCAGTGCAACAAGGAGCTGCTGTCCAGGGGCTCGTACAGAGGACACAACGAGTACCTGATAGCGCATTACAGACGAGAGTGCCTGCTGGTGAGTACACCTCGACGCTAAGGCATTTTGTCTGGAAGGCTTTGCCTTATTTGCTGGAGCAGTGCTGTTTCACTAAGACTCTCAGGCGCTCTGAGCCGCACTGTTAAGCGCTCTGAGACGCTACCCCACATGGATAAATATAATTGCCACCCGTCTGGCTGTCGGGAATAACGTACAGTACAATGTGGTGCAACCCCTTCATAGCGCAGTATCCCTAATCCTAATAATGTATACTTGGAGCCCTGTAGCTCAGTGGTTAAAGCGCTCGCCTCATAAGTGAGGGACCTGGGTTCGATTCCCGGGCAGGGCGAAACGTTGGGCAAGTTGTGCGCAATTGGCTGCCGCGTTTCGCCCACAAAATACAGACGATTCACTTTACAGTGTATCCTGTGAAGCGCTTTGAGTCGTCTCTTTGACCGAGCCTTCAGCTCCCCTCTCGACTCTCTTCCCCCTTCTCGCTCCCTCCCATCCTTCCCCTCACCCTGACCATTTCCCCCCCCCTCGCTCCCTCCCCTCCCCTGACCATTTCCGCCCTGCTCGGGTTATGACCCAACTGTGCAGCGCCTTGGGACGTCCTCCTGACGTGAAAGGCGCTTTATAAATGGAATCTTGTTGTTGTTGTTGTCTCGAAGACGTGATGAGACGCCGTATCAAATGCCAGGATTATTATTATCATATAGAGAGAGGGAGACAGAGAGAGATGGGGTGAAACTTGCAACGTGCGCAACTTGAAGCCTTAAAGGTGGATGTGAGATCAAACAGTGTCGTGAAGATGTCGTCAGTTCCACTGGGCGGGTTAGCAATAGCAGGGCAGGGTCTTTAACTGCCATCCGAACAAGCGGACAGGGGCTCCAGTTTGACATCTTATCTGAATCGTGGGATAGAGCCGGTTGGCAAGAGCCGCGGCTTATGGGGTGGGGGGGGGAAACCCCATAGTGTGTGTTGGGGGGGTAACACCTGGAGGAGTCTAACCAGTTAAAACCAAATGGCTCACCATTGAGAGAGCTGTCTGGCAAGCTTTCCCGCTGCTTGTCCAACTCGGACCACCCTACCCGGTAGGGGTTTGGCTTGCAGGGTTAACAGGAGCCGAGTTGAGTAAGAATAAGAGCTGAGTAGGGTGGGCGTTGTGCGGTGGGGGGGGTAAGAGGACTTTGTAAACAACAACAACAAATTCCATTTACACAGCACCTTTCGCGTCAGGAGGATTTCCCAATGCGCTGCACAGTCAGGGATCCACACCCGAGCTGGTGGTTGGGATCAGGAGGGGGTGTAGGGTGGGTTAGGGGTAGGAGAGTGACCGAAGGACCTCCGAAGAAGAGGGTCTTGAGACTGGTCTTGAAGGAGGCAAGGGATGGGGCGACTGTGGAATGAAGTTCCAGAGGGTGGGTGGAGTGGGGGGGCAGAAAGGTTGAAGGCCCGACAACCAAGGGCAGGGAGGGGAAGGGGTAGGGGGAGCGTGAAGCTGGCCGGAGCCCCGCTGAGCGGAGGGTTACTTCTTTGTCGTCGGGCTCATGCCCCTCTCTCCTCTCCGGGCTCTGCGGGGCGACAGAAGCTGAATGAAGAAGCGGCATCCCTGTTCGAGTCGGGGGACGAGCGAGAGGTGGAGGACGGGCTGAGCATCATGAATGAGCTGGTGGTGCCCTGCCTGCCCCTGCTGCTGGCGGACGACCTGGAGGACAAGGACATCGCCGCGGTGGAGGACATGAGGAACCGGTGGTGCTCCTACCTGGGGCAGGAGATGGAACGTAAGCGCTGGAGCCCGGCGAGGAGATGCGCAACCGAACCTCGTACTGTTCTCTCCAACGGACGACCTAACCCTCCCTAGCGCTGTTCGTGGGCAGAACAAAATGGTTGGGGGCGCATGAGGGGGTGTTTGACCGCAGGCAGGGTAAAATAGGAAGGTCTTCAGGCGCCACCTGAAGATGGGGGAAGGCGGGAAGGGGCAAGGCCTTTGAGGGATTGAGGGAGAGAGCGTTTCAGAGTTTCGGGACGCAGCAGCTGAAAAGCTCGGCCGCCGAGGGCGGAACGGGGGACAAGCAGGAGGCCGGAGCCGGTCGAGCGGAGGAAGCGGGTTGTGGGTTGGCAGTGGGAGGTGTGGGTAAAGCAGGTCGGAGAGGCAGGGAGGTGCCAGGGCACGAAGGGATTTGAAGACGAGTGTGAGAGGATCTCGAAATTCCCCCGTTCGGCGATAGGGAGCCAGTGGAGCCTGGCGAGGGCTGGGGTGATGGGGTACGGGGTTTAGGGGGTGTGATAGGGAGCCAGTGGAGCCTGGCGAGGGCTGGGGTGATGGGGTACGGGGTTTAGGGGGTGTGATAGGGAACCAGGGGCTCCAATGTAATCCGTCCACATGTTATGGCCCTTGTAACATCGAAACGTTCCAGAAGCGCTTTGCAGATAATTGCTAGCAAGTGTAGTGACTGTATTTTGCTGTTGATCTGATTTACATTTCTCCTCCCGTTCCCCTCCTCTTCCTTCCTCTTCCTTGAATTTTCTCTCTCTTCTCCTCTCCCTCCCTCTCTCCCTCCCTCCCTCCCTCCCTCCCTCCCTCCCTCCCTCCCTCCCTCCCTCCCTCCCTCTCATTCACTCTCTCTCACGCTCTCTCTGCCTCCCTTTCTTCCTCTCTCTCCCACTTTCTCTGTTCTCCTCTCTCCCACTCTCTCACCCCCTCTCCCATTCTCTCCCTCCCTCTCTCCCACCCTCTCCCTCTCTCCCACTCTACCCCCCTCCCACCCTCCCTCCCCCCCCCTCTCTCCTTTTCTACTTTTCCCCCCAATTTCTCTCTACCTCTCTACCCTTTCCCCCCCTCCATCCCCCACTCCTCCTCCCCCCCCCACCCCACCTCACCTCTGTCCCTCTTCTACCCTTTCCTCGCTCCTCCCCCACCCCCCCCATCTCTCCCCTGCCCCTCCACCCTCACAGCCACTCTACAGGAGAAGCTGACCGACTTCCTACCCAAGTTGCTGGACTGCTCGACGGAGATCAAAGCTTTCCGGGACCCGCCGAGGCTGCCCTGCCTCTCCACCCACGAGCTATGCGAACGCTTCTCCCAAGCCCTGGCACAGCCACAGGCCCGAGCCCCGGCAGACGGCAGATAAAAGCAGACAACACACCCCCCCCATCCCCCTCTACACCCCACTCCCCGTACCCCCCCCTCGCCGCCCCCCAACCCCACGCCACTCCACCATCAGCACCACCCTCCCTCACTCCCGACCTCACCTATTCCTCATCCCGGAGCACGTCACCAACAACGGAAAACTTTTATTTCTCTCTCTTTCTCTCTCTCTCTCTCTGCTTTGGTTTTTTCCCCCCCCCACCACTTTCCCCCCCCAAAAGAAATGTAAAAAAAACCCTTGCCTTTCTATTGTGGGGGTTTGCTTGCTGCTATAGATTTTCTCTCTCTATATATATATATTATATATTATATTATATGTGTGTGTGTGTAATATATACACGCGCACACATATAAAACAACACACATTGAATTGGCGCAAACATCCAGACGTTGAAGAGAGCGAGGCTGTGGCGGGGTGGGGGGGGGCTGGGGGGGGAGCGGGAGACGGAATTTGAGTGCGCAAGATTGCAACTCGCATGTGCAGACGAATGCTTTGACCTCCATTGGGAGCTTGAGGATGTTGGGGGAGTGTGTGCGTGTGTGTGTGCGTGTGCGTGTGCGTGTGTGCGCGTGGGGCAGAAGGGAGGGAGGGGGTTTGGGGGGGTTGCAATTATTGGAGGGAGGGAGGGAAGGAATGACGGGTGTTTAAGATTTACTCGGCTTTTTTGCCAGCTGTTTCTCTGTTACAGTATTAGACCCCCGCTTTCTTTCATTTTAAGCAACCACCGCGTCCCCCCCACCCACCGCCACCCACTACACCCTCCCCAACTCCATTTCTCTTTCCTCCTCCTCCTGTCCCCCCACCGCCCCTCTTTCCGTTGATATCCGCTGCATTTTATCCTTTCACGTTACCCTCTCTCTATCGTGGCCACTAACCTTTTAAAGCTGGGAGGTGTTGAGTCCACAGAACTAATGGCCTCCTATTCTCATCCCACCCCCAACAAGCTCCTCCGCCTTCCCCCGAAAGGAACTGAAGGAATAAAGTTTTATTTTACGGCTGCTTTTCGATGCAACGACATAGGTTTTTTTTTGGGGGGGGGTGAGTTTGGCTTTCGTTTTAATTTACACAAAAAAACTTGCGGACTGCCCTGCCCCCCTCGCTGTATCCAGATGCTTTTTAAACCAATGTCTACAACAAGAGCCAACAAATGACATTTATGCAGCTCCTTTCACGTCGGAAGGATTTGGAGGGGGCGGGTTGGGGGTTTGGGATCAGGAGGGGGTGGAGGGCAGGATTGGGTAGGAGGTTTTGACTGGCTTTGACTTGCGGGTGGGGGTGGGGAGGGGGCAGAGAGAGGGGTTTGAGAGCTTGTCTGAGACTCCCCCGCTCCTTCCCAAATCTCTTGTGTTTGAGCCAGGTCAACCTGCTCGAGGCTAGCGACGGTGATTTCCGGTCTCGACAATAATCCTTAACCCTCGCGTTGGATATGGCGCCTCATCGCGTCTTCGAGGCGTCTCAAAGCACTTCCACAGGAATGCACTGGAAGGTGAATTGACCCTGTCTGCTAGAATTAGGGAAGAATTTCCCTCCCTCCCTCCCAACATCGTCACCACTCCATCAATCCTCGCTCCCAACTCCTTCTTCTTCTCCCCAGCCCTCCGTCCCCCCTCCTCCTTCCCCACCCATCAGGACAATATATCAGACCCGTTATATTGGACCTCAGAAGAGCTGGGTACATATGATCCCCATGTCTTGAGCTCAGCTGAGCACTACCAAGTTCTTTTATTCTGGCACTGCATGATTGCTCTGCATGAAAAAAAGCCTTTTGGCCCATCAGATCTCAGCTCCCCCCCCCCCCCCCCAGAACACCCACCCTCCTGCACCCCTTCGTTGTATCCAGATGCTTTTTATACTAGTCCCAGTGTCTTCATCTCTACAAGAACAACAAATGACATTTTATCCAGCTCCTTTCACGTCGGGAGGACGTCCCAAGGCGCTGGACAGTCAGGGATTTGGACCTGAGCTGGGGGTTTGGATCAGGAGGCCGTTGAGGGCGGAGAGGGTGAGAGTAGGAGGGTGCCTTGAAGGAGGCGAGGGAGGGAGGTGAAGAGAATGTGGGACGGAGTTCCAAAGGCGTGGGGGCAGAGAGTCTGAAGGCCCGACCAACGATGGTGGGGCGAGCCAGGCTGGGCGGGGGACATGGAGCAGGCTGAGCGGAGAGAGCGGACAGGGTTCTACGATCTTTCCAAGCAAACTGTTCCCAGTCTCATTAACATCTGCTCTTGTGCGACCGGAGCGAGGGAAGAGGAAGGTAAAGTTTAGTCTGGGGTAGATTCTGGATGGGAGTATCTCTTTGTGTCTCAAGTGAAGCTGCAGCACTGTGGGTGTGCCCCCCCCCCTGTGGATACACTACCTCTAACTGCGCAAATAAAATCCCCCTCTCCCCACCACCCTCCCAGCTCCGGGATCCATGACATTCCAGAGCTCAGTGGTTAGAGCGCTCGCCTCGCAAGCGAGAAGACCTGGGTTTGATTCCCGGGCGGGGTGAAAACGTTGGGCCAGTTTCCTTACTCCACACACACACGCCTCTGTTTACCTAGTGGTAAGTGGGAACCCGGTTGTTAGTCGATTGGCAGATCGCTTTCTGGGGGTAATAATTCCTTCCCCCAAAATAATAATAATAATTTCATCATTTCAATCCACGACTGTTTGTGGGACGACGCTGCTGTGCGCAATTGGCTGCTGGCGTTTCGCCCACAGCCTATACAGTCACTACTTTACAGTATATTCTGTGAAGGGCTTTGAGACGTCTCGAAGACATGATAAGGCGCTGTAGCAAATGCGAGGATTATTATGTTATTATTACCAAGCCGTGAACACAAGGCGTTGAAGGAATCACGTGATGTGGACCCAACCTCACACCTTCCTCTTCCCCTCCACTCTCCACCCAAGCGATGATTCAGAGGTTTCAGGACATCTCAGGCCTGAAGTTCCACCTGGTCTCAGCCCTGTAACACTATTTTCCCTGAAGATTTAGGGGGGGAACGTGGGTTTGGGAGCAGAGAGAGGAATAGAATTGTTATGTCAAACTCTCAGAATCCAGATTGCATTTGAAAGCTTCCCCACCCCCCCCCACCCCCCGATCTCCTCATCGCCTAATTGCCAAAAAAAAAGGCTTCCTGAGTTAGTTTGGATTTTAAGAACTAATATTTAATGCATAAAATAACAGCAACAACAATTCCGTTTATGTGGAGCCTTTCGCGACGGGAGGATGTCCCAAGGTGCTGGACAGTCAGGGATTTGGGACCCGAGCTGGGGGTCGGGATCAGTTTACGAATTCATATAAACTGGTTCGTGCAGCGTCCTATGGGTCAGAAGGACCTCAAAAGGCGCTTCACGGGGTTACACTGTGGAACGTAGGGTCGGAGGATGGTTGACTCGTGATTTGGGGGCAAAACTGTGCACTGGCTTCAGTCACGAGGTGAAGCAGTCTCACAGGGCTTCAGAAAAGAGAAAGAGAACTGAAATTCTGAAATGGGTAACAGAGGCAGAATATTGCTGGAAAAGCACCAGAGTGACGGTGGGGGAGTGCGGGGGGTTGTTGGGGAGTAGGGTGAGAGACTGCGGACTAATGTCAGTGCCTGAAAGCCAAGGTTATTTAACGCTGGGGGTGCGATATTGAGCTGATACCAAAATGGTACCCGGAATGTTAAGCTGTTTTTTTCTCTTCCAGGTCTCCCTTAACCTCCCAACGTTTTCCCTCATCTCCTGTGCATTTTCATCACCTCTGAATTCTGAGAGGAGGGGGGGGGGGGGGTTCTCCCTCTCTGTCTCTCTCTCTGTCTCTCTCTGTTGAAATCGTTCCCTTTGCACTTTTTTTTTTGTCTGTGGTGTCTCGTCTTTTCTAATAATAATATAACACTGAGGAGTTGAAGGGATGGTCTCGCTTCATGTTGGGGTCTGTTTTATTTCGCCACCGAGCATCGATGGGAAGCTGCCGGAAGCCGAGAGATCAATACCATGATCTCCGGAAAATTATAGCATTGCACCTTTCAGAGTGATCGGGGTCTAAAATGCTAGATTTCTTAGCGGGATTCCTTAATTGGTGGGTGGGCGGGAGGGTTGGGGGGCAGTTGTAAGGGACTGCATTTTTACCTCGAAGATCTTGTAATCTTGAAGTAATTGTTGTCTAGTGTAGTGACTTTTTTGCAGGTCAACCACAATCAGCCCATTGGTGATTGACTGATCTGGTCAGTGTTGGCCGGTTACGCAAAGGAACTTGACTTGCATAAATGGGGCGTGAGGGGAATGGGGTGGAGTGGTGGGGGCGGGGGGGGGGTTGCGGGGAGAAAAATTCTTCCGATAGCAAGCAGTAGGTCATATTGATCCACCGAGACTCTTACCCCATCAAGAATGTCTTGACAAAGGAATCCCGTGAGAAATGCCACATCTTTTGACCCTCGCTCTTTGGGTTCAGGTGTCAGGACATTAGTGGAAGAAAAGAAACAAGGACTCCTTCTGCAAAGCTCACCAATGATTAAACATGGAGCCCTGTAGCTCAGTGGTTAGAGCGCTCGCCTCGCAAGCGAGAGGATCTGGGTTCGAGTCCCGTCAGGCCAAAATGCTGGGCAAGTTTCCCTACACACGCCTCTGTTTACCCGGCAGTAAGTAGGAACCCGGTTGTAAGTTGTTTGGCAGATCGCTTTGCCAGAGATAATAATTCCCTCAAAAAAATAATAATAAATTGGTCACTTCAGTCCCACGACTGTTTGTGGGGACGCTGCTGTGCGCAATTGGCTGCTTTGTTTCGCCCACAAAATACACAGACAATTCATTTTACAGTGTATCCCGTGAAGCGCTTTGAGACGTCTCGAAGACGCGATGAGGCGCTGTATCAAATGCAAGGATTATTGCATTATAAGGATTATATAAGACTGAAACGAGTGTGTGAAAGGTGTTTGGGATGCTTTACGGAAGCGAGATACAACGTGGGTTACGCCGTGCTGGGAGCTCCACCGTGCAGAAGACACTGAAGTAATCCCTTCAAAAGAAAGAAAGAATAATAAAACGGTCATTCA